TGTTTTGGCCATCAGATATTTCAAGAAATAAATTATTACGAGCATGATGAACGAAAAACAAATCAGTGAAGGAAAACAAATATTTTTATTAGAAGCAAAGTCAGTTGTGGTCTAGTTAAGGATACAGTCAGAAAATTTTAACTGGTGTATATATAACTGGATAGATAGATATATACTGTATATATACACACACTACCATTCAAAAATTTGATTTACATTTCAGTTACATTTAAATTGGAAATTCAACTTTGCCAATACAGGAATATATTTTAATATATTAAAATAGAAAACAGTTATTTTAAATTGTAATAATAGTTCAAAATATTACTATTTTTGATCAAATAAATGCAGCATTGGTGAGCATAAAATACTACTTTCAAAACCACTAAAAATCATACTAAACTTTTGCATGGTAGTGTATATGAATTTTATGTTTTTTATGCTATAAATTGTGTATTTTGCTATATAAATATGCAAGCAAAATACATGTATTGATTTTTATATAATATATTATATATAAATGTAATAAAATACAAAATAAGCTTTTTTTGAGAGAAAAGCAGAAGTCAGCCAAGTGCTCTTCTCTGACTCAGCTCTGAGTTACTTTTCCATGGAATCTGAAACCAAGATGCAAAATAGCCTGGCATGTTGTGTTCTCAAAGTTCACATCGGCCCCTGCAGACGCTGAAATACCACCAGACTCTGCTGGAACACTGACAACTTCTCTTGACAAAGAAAGTAACTGGATGTTCTTTGGAGACTCTTCTTCCTCTTATGGTTTTGCAGCAGAATTGGCCATCCTTCAGTCAACATTAGCTGGCTCAACTGTTAACAGCTAACACACTCAAAATGACTGCTGGGGTGGACCGAACCTTTCGGGTATCTCTTGACCAGATTGGATCTTATAAGACCAGCCTTGAAGAATTTACTGTCAGTGATAACTTAGCAAATGTCAAGAAATTATCTTTGGAGTGTCACCAATCTTATCCGTGTCTGGGTGTATTATTGTAAAGTTCACTGAATGATGGGTGTAGGTTTTATCAAAAGACACACAAAAAGAAAATGTCCCCAGAACTGATTAAATCTAGGTTGTCTTCAAAGCAAGACAATACACAGCTGGTATGAAGGTTGGGGAAATTAAAAATCTCAATTAGGGTGACAACATCAACCTTAGATTTACTTTAAGCACAACTAAAAAGTAGTCAAAAAGATAGCAATGAACAAAATACTGTAAAAAAATACTGTACTTCAGAGTTAAATAATAATAATAATAATTTAAAAACTTTAATTTTCATAAAATCATTATGCTTAAATTAATTAGAAATTAACAAGAAGACTTAAATCTGTGCAGAACATTTTTAAATTTGTTGCTCATTTACATGAACTGTATAAACAAACTGATTCATTAGAACACATTCTTTACAACACTTCATATGAGAGAAATTAACTGCTTACTATTAAATGATTTGCTATCAGAATAATTTCCATCAGAAAGGGGGCTGTTTGGTCATGCTAAACTGTTACTCATTGAAAAAAGTAGTTTGTTACCAGAAAGGATTTTATTTTAAAAACAACTGAACTGAACTGTCACACTACTGACAAATGTAGTTGCGCCGCTGTTCGCTGTTTGCTCACAACACTGGTTGCTAGACTCTTTCCTCTCTTTTACTGTGCAAAAAGGCAAATGCTAAAAAAAAAAAATGCTTAAAAGCAATCACACTGCCAGTTGGTTCAGTAAAATTATTTTCATGACAATCCAAAACCAAATATACCTAATATCTGTGAGAAAGGAATTAAAGAATTAGAGGAAGTGCAGTGTATTTCAGTGTGACAAAGCTGAAAATGACTATTTTGCATATTGTTGAATATATGCATAAGCCACTTCATTTTCTTTCCACCAGCATTTATTTATGGTTACATATCTGCATAAATAAACCAAGAGCTGGGTCGAAAGTCAAACTTATTCGACCTTGGAGACTATCGCTGTATTGTCCGTGTAAAAGTAAAGGTAGTGTCACGACTTCAACTGTCACTGTGCTCTTCTTCTTCCTGTATATTGATACTCTCGTAATGTTCGGTTAAATCTGTGTTTTCCACAAAGACGCACTAAAGGGAAATGTAAGCGTTTAAATCGAATGTCACTCACAAGGTTATTACTTCCCTCCCTTGTGCTTGCCTGAGCATTTACATGATGCTGACCCAAGCTACGAAACACAATATACCACAGAGCATGGAGCATGCTGCTATTTTCAGAGCAGACGCCTCACTATATGCGGGACAGTATCTTAGAATCTCTAGCACAATTTAGTCATTTAGACCCCTCCCAATTTCAAAGCCAATTTCCGTCCTTACAGTAGCATGCATTACCCTCTCAGAAAGATAAATTTGGCATGCTAATTCCTAAAGCTCTAGCTAGTGTACACACCAAAGAAGTAATGAATCTTGAACATATCTCTGTAAGTAGGTTAATTTGCTGTTTTTGTAATTTTTTTTTTTTAGATGAGTCTTTAGTAAAGCAGTTGATGCACATTTAAAATTGAAACTGGTGAAACTCTGGAAAGCAAATGGAAAATGGGTCACAGCAGGATGCCACTGGGATAGGCTGTTAGAAATCCAGTAGTTTACTGGATTTATGCAACGGCAAACACGAAGGACAAATACATTGCCTCTCACCTGGAAAATCAATAGCAATCCGTGCCATTACTTTTCAAGTTGATCCTTACGGGAGTAAGCTGCCAATTTGCCAAAACCAACCACTTAAATGGTTTGTAATAGCAATGAAATTATGCATAAATTGCTAGCACAGAACATCATGCTCATACCTGTACTGAGGGGAAGGGACTCCTGATGCCTCACAGGTTAAAACAGCCTCCTGCTCAGCAGTATGGATAGGCAGTATCAGATCTTCTGGTTCCTTTTTCCAGCTTGGACCAAGAAACTTTGTGTCTTCTGCTTGTGCTGAGGAGACTGAGACAGAGAAAATCCATTTGTATTACATTTAATAAAAATACAGTTCAATCATGACAACTCTCTTGAGTGAATGATTTCAAACAGCATTTACTGGCATGAGGAATGTAATGTGCATAAGCTTCATTTTGGTGTACAAGATATGCTATGCTGCTGTTGCTGAGCAATCACAAGAATTTGTTTAGCTTAGTAAAACGTGAACTCGCGATGCCTTGAAAGTGGACAAAACCAGCTTTTTTGATAAAACGTGTTTAGGGTTCAGATCGCGCTATATTTGGAGAATAATGCACGGCAATCAGCGTATATATATATATATTAGGGCTGCACAATATATTGTTTCAGCATCGATATCGCGATGTGCGCATCCGCGATAGTCACAAGCTCCCGAGCGCTTTGGAAAGAAGGAGAAAGCGGCGCGACAGGCATTTTTCCACGCGACATGTGAACGGCCCCATAGTCTTTCTACACTGGATGCGACAAATCGACCATTGGATATCAACTTTTTGTCAGTACGTCATAAATAGAATCATCAGTTTACTGTCGGGGATTTGTCATGTCATGCCGCGCCACATCCAGTGTAGACAGCATTACTGATTATAACGGGTTCATTGTATCTTGTCGCGTCACGCCGCAGCGCCGCACAGCGCCGCTCATGTCTGGAGTAGACATGGTGAGAGCCACGCAGATGCACGTGAACACTGAATTCTCTTCACTTCTGCATCTATTTTTGCCTGAAATACTGTTCTCTGCAAGTATCCTTGTAAACGCAGTTGCTTATGGCTCAGGTGAAGGGAAACAATTGAGAAAGAAAATGGATGTGTAACAGTATATTGGTTTACAGCACTTTAATGTTCCTGAGGCTTTCTGTGTTATGAATTTTAATCAAACAACAAAACACAAAGAAAAATAACTTTTGCATCTTTAATATAGATTTATTAGATTTAATTTATACAGTGAACACTATGCAGTGTCATTTTACATTTGATTATTCAATTTCTGTACCTGAATACTGTTAGACTTACCTGAAAAATATAAAGCACTGTTTATATCATTTGTATCTTTGTTCTGTTATATTTATCTATGCTTGTAATTTGTTTATTTCCTATGCTGATTTACTCGCCTACAAAATCACACCAATCATTGATTTTTTTTTTAAATAAACTATTCAAGTCATGTGGTGATTTTTTTTTTCATATCGCAATATATACAGCAGAAAAATAAAATATTGCATCAAATATACACTGTATATATATATATATATATATATATATAAATACATGCTTCAGAAGACATCACACCCCCGTTGTCAGAATTGTATGTAATATATCTAAAAACACATTATAAAATTATAAACGCAACACTTTTGTTTTTGCCCCCATTTTTCATGAGTTGAACTCAAAGATCTAAGACTTTTTCTATGTACACAAAAGGCCTATTTCTCTCAAATATTGTTCACAAATCTGTCTAAATCTGTATTAGTGAGCACTTCTCCTTTGCCGAGATAATCCATCCACCTCACAGGTGTGGCATATCAAGATGCTGATTAGACAGCATGATTATTGCTCAGGTGTGCCTTAGACTGGCCACAATAAAAGGTCACTCTAAAATGTGCAGTTTTACTGTATTGGGGGGTCCGGGGGGTCTGAAAATCAGTCAGTATCTGGTGTGACCACCATTTGCCTCACGCAGTGCAACACATCTCCTTCGCATAGAGCTGATCAGGTTGTTGATTGTGACCTGTAGAATGTTGGTCTACTCCTCTTCAATGGCTGTGCGAAGTTGCTGGAT